CAAACGCAGTGATAACAGAGCGTGGTAACAGGCCAGAGGGAATGTGACAGGTACATGGTAGAGCAGCCCAGAGTGAGTCTCCATCTGCCGCAGCTGCTGTGCACTAATTAGCCCAGCAACAGTGACAAGACACATTAAGAGCTTCGATACAGGCTCCCAGAATTGAGGAAATGCTGGATAGTCGCAGCCCCCAGAGTCACTTAAATGTCGGAAAGAAGCGGCAGCGATCATCGACCACTATCAGTCATGCTGTTTGAGTGACAAATCGTTTGATCGACCAAGCTTGCAGTTCCCACAATACCTCTTTGGTACAAATTCAAGCGTTAATTGGCTCGTAATGCTTTGTTGCTCTCTTAACATATTCCTCTGATGTTTAAATACATGAGAGCCTGTTGCTTGGCTTGCTCTTGATATGAAAGTGAAATTAATTTTGAATATGCATTCTAGTTGTTTGCTCCAGCAAGTGAATCAATTTAAATTAATGCACTGAACATACATATTTTTTTCAGTTTTCGGGATCTTTTGAGTCACAAATACTAAGAAATGTTACTTAACACTACATAAAACACATTTTAGAACAAGAGGAATGCCAATGTCTCACAACATAGATCTAACAGTTCTCTGAACAAATAATTTCAAATTGAACAATACTGCTGAAATATTAGGCAATAGGTTTGTGAGTTCCCAACATGCATTTTATTCCCCTCCAACCACTTTTTTTCCGTTGTAGGTCTGATAATAAGCAAATAAACAAGCGTTTCAGAGAAAGGTCTTAAGTGCTGTGGTGAGAAAAGATGGAGAAATGTTTACTTCGGGGTAGCTTGGCCAGTCATGCAAAACAGACCTTTCTGTATGAGTATGAAGATGTTATGAGGTTGAGAATGAATCACACATTTCCTTATACTTCCTTGCCATCTGTCCTTGTTTTAATAATCTATTCTATTTTAGCATAGGAGATCCAGATGCGGGATTACAAATCTAACAATCTGTTTAAGATCTGCTGATCGCACGTGAAACATCACATGAAAAACTAAGTTGAAGTACATTGTATTTAGCATTTAAGGTAAAGATGATGACATCAGATAATGATTCTGTCAAGCAAAGATTTTAGCAAGAGGTTTTTGCCAGTTCCTGTCTCACATTTTGTCTTTAATGGATCTTGGAGCCCCTGTCCTATTCTTTGAATAGTTATGCTGATTGGATTGTGCCTGCTTTAAGGTCGTCACCCAGTTGATTTCTCTCCGTTTCTAAAATGTCTCATCCATTTCTACCCCCTGCTCTCCACGTCTTCATTTCTGAGTTTCCTACAAAAGCCTTTTGCATACAGACTAGTATCAGTAAAAAAAAAAAAAAATATGTAAGCCCCAGAACTCAACACACTCAAATTGTAAATTAAATTTTTTAGTAATTGTAAAGAGCATTTTAATGAATTACAAGTTAAACTCATCTGTTCCTCACATAATGCTATCAATTAGCTTCAAAACTTATACTGCCTTTGAGAAGTGTGTTTAAAGCAGCACTATGCAGTTTTTGTTTAACCTTAACCAACACTATCTCACGACCAATTCGTACGAATTCGACGCATGATTAAAAAGTGTCTAATTCGTACTAATTCGTACGACCTCACTCGTACTAATTCGTACGATTTGTCTAAACCCACGTGATGGTTAAGTTTAGGGGCGGGGTAAGGGGTAGGTCATTCGTATGAATTCATACGAATTGGCCAATTCGTAAAATATGTACGATTTAGCAAAATCGTATTAATTCGTACGAGTGAGGTCGTATGAATTGTTACGAATTAGCCACTTTTTAATCATTCGTCGAATTCGTACAACTTGGTCGTGAGATCGGGTTGCCTTAACTGAATAGCTTCGAAGTTATTGCATATTTGCATATATGGTTATATGACTATTTTCAGGTTGAATGGTGGGCGTCTCGAGTGCCGACAGTTCAACAGGGCGCAGCTCTTAAAGGGGCCACTCCTTATTTCCACTCGTTACAGCTTCCATCCTACTGAACAGGTACTGGTATAACTGGGGAGGGGATCAGGCCGTGAGTGCATCTCTGCGTGAGTGCTATTAGAGCCCGTTCTCATCCTTTGGCGTCATATAGGTGAAGCCAGGTGATATTTCGTCGAAATACTACGCACATGGCACCCTTTAGCGTCAATATAACACCCACTTACGGGTAGGTTTAGGTCTGGGGTAGGATCTGCATCTCATATTGACGCTAAAGGATGCCAGTCACCTTTATGACGCCTTGGGTTCACAGTGCCTTTATTACACGTGTACTTGTTATTGTAATAACAGAAAATTATGCATAATTACATGCAAATAACCTTAAACCTAAACCTAACCCTATACTGTAGACCTATGTGCTGTTAATTAATATTACTCAGTACTTAAATGTATACACTGTAACAAGGACACCTTAAAATAAAGCGTATAAAAAATAACATTACAGCCACTAAAGAGAACACTTTCATTACGGTGTTACACTTAAAAAAGTATGCTTTGAAATAATGTCACGTTAAAAGTTTCACTTTAAAGTACTTTTCAAATACATCTTAAATCTTTTAAATTAAAAAAGATGAACAAAAGACTTTTGGCTTTGGAATGGGTGTGCAATTAATGACAGAATTTTTATTTTTGGGTGAACTAACCTGTGATGCCGGTACCGTGGTGTGGCAGAAACACGGGAAGGAGGCTGGATCCAAACGCAGTGTATAGGCTTTACTTAGACAAACTACATATTTCAACAAGGACTCAGAAACAGGACTTAGACACAGGCGCAATTAACATCGACCTCACACGTTCAACAACTCACAAACTAAGACAGAAACACAGGGCTTAAATAATCAGACAAGCAAACTTAACAAGGTAACAAGGGGGCGTGGACAATAGGAAACACCTGGAAAACTCAATAGACAGGGAACCACTAATAATACAAAGACAAAGACAAAGATACAAAACCACATCATGACATAACCCTTTAAGTGGGTAAAAAGGCACTCTAACATTAATGCATTTCAATCATCAATTTGAACTATAAAACATTGTCAATTAATTACAATTAACATGCATTCACGAGTCAGTTTGCACTATATATTTTTGTAAAAGGTATTATTTCTGTAGGCTACTCTAAAAAGTAAGCTAAAGTGCACTTCTGTTTCACAAGGATAGCATGATGGCAAGAAACTAGTTTGGATGGAGCCTAAGTATTTAGAGTCACTGTTATAGTCTACATTTGCATACACTTTAATAGCACAATGTTTAATTAAGAAGTATATTATTAATAGGCATATAATCTTCAAAGTCTGTGCAGGCTGCAGTGTGTGTTTATTTTGTGATATTTATTCTGGCTATGAGGCAGAACATTATGTTTGAAATATGTTGTATACCAGAGACGTGTATATAAAAAAGTTAAAGTTTTAATGAGGATTTTAGGTTTCTAATTAGCAACCTTGTATCACAGTAATACATGGTGAACATGATTGGTTTTTGTCTTTTGTGAGGGCACAGCAAAGGTTGGTTTTATATAAAAATGACTCCAAGAACTTTCAAAAAAAAAGAAAGAAAGTTTTGTAGAAAAACTTTCTGCTCTTGAAATGTCTTGAATTTCTTTTAACCCTGATGAAGACGCTTTTGAGAATTTGTTGTTTTGATGACGTGTGGTGAAGGACATTTTTGAAACTCGAAACACTGAATAACTCGTGTGTGCTTCAGTATTGAGATAAAAGAAGGCAATAGGCTTACCTATTCATCCTCTGAATGACTCAAGGTCAATTACAACCACAACCTTTCCAACTAAATAGTTTTACAACAAACGTGTAAGTGCTCATTTAATTTTCTGCAATGAGAACTGTTATGTGTTTGCACTATGTGTGAGTCATTTCGTATGCGATTTCATGAGTGTCACTATATGCAAATTAGAAAGGCTTAGACAAGCAGTATTAGAGTCTCTTGTACAGTAATAATATACAGCACTTCAATCTACAGGGTCCTCGGTCTCAATCTTCTAATTAGATAACAAGACCTGAACCGTTTTGCCCAGAAAGGGGACAATGTAGGGTTAATGGGCTGCTCTGTTGCAGATTTTCTAAGACGTAATAAGGTTAAAAGTGTAAACATCTCATTGACCTGAAGCTTGATGACCCTCTGGACAGATGAACTCTTTTCCGCTGGCACCAAAACACTCAGCCTCTAATATAAATGTCACGATGTCCAGGATATGTCAAAATTAAAGTAATTTTTGAACAATGATAAATGTAAATTGGTAAATATGATAAAAGTTGGCTGTAAAAAAAAAATAAATCTGCATTGTTAAATGTATGCATTGTTGGGTGAGGATCACATTATGAAATAAGTCCCCAGACCTGAACCCTATAGAAAATGAGTGGGCTGAACTGAAGAGAAGCGCCAACATGCGGATCTGGGAAACTGAAGGATCTGGAGAGATTCTGTTTGGAGGAATGGTGTAATGATCTCCTGTCAGGTGTTCTCCAAACTCATCAGGCATTATAGGAGAAAACTCAAAGCTGTTAAATTTGAGAAAATGAGGTTGCAAAAAGTATTTAATGAAAGGGGGCAAATAATTGTTCCCAATGTGTTTTGGAGAAAAACATTTATTTCATAATACAAATTTCAATTATTTTACTTCAATAAAAGGTTCGATTTTTGCTCTCACACACTGAGTATTGTTTTGTGTTTAGCACTCCCCTATAGGGCTGTGAATCTTCGATTCACGATTCATAGGTTTTCGATCGTTTGATTCAAGAACGATTTGTGCAAATTCAGAACGATTCAATTCGATGCGATTCACATCCAAATTCAATGCGATTTGATTCTTAATTTTTTATATGCATTATAGCATTATTTCAATGCTTTACCCAATGGGTCTTTGTCTGGGTTTGAATTAGCCTACACAGCAGCCTTCGGAGGTCAGATAGTGGAGATTTTGTCCATTGTTAATGTTAGTTCATGTTTGTTTTTAATTTTAATGAATATATTATTATAAAAAATTCAATGGCTTGAAAAAGGCTTTTAAAGTATTGCATTAAATGACTACGTGCTCAAATTAATGGAGACGTTTTCATTAGTTTCATTTTGCGTCCTCTTAGTGCACTCGTTAACATCTTTTCACTAGATTTTGCTCACGCTCGGTCCCATAGCTCTCATGTAACTACAGATTTTTGAGCAGTCCATGTTTGAGCTCTCCAGCTGAGCTCTCCGTCGAGAAAGCAATAGTTTTGAGGCAAACCGCTCAAGCCATTGATAAAGCTGCCATGACATTGTGTGGGCACTATGAAACAAAACGCTTTCATTCATTTATTACATGGAAAGGTTCAAGTTGAGAAGTTTGTGAATAAAACACAGGTCTTATGCTAATATATCTGGCTAAAAAACATAGTTTTTCTCCCTGTGTTGTTGTTCTCTCTTCTCTCGGGGCAGGGGTTGGGGACGCAGTCAGGCAGCTGGTGATCGCTCCTGACAGGCTGTGCGTCCACGGTGCCTGGGAGAAAAGGTGAAGAGAGAACGTAAAGATTAGAGACGTGGCTAGTGCTTGTTTCTCTCTGAATGCCAGCCGCCTACACTGTCTCCATCAGGATCCACCTCCGCCTGCTGTTCACACAGACATGGCTAGCCTTAATGGGTCCCACAAACCCTGTATCTATAGTCCAGCTTGTCACCCACTGTTTTCTTTCTGTTGAGTGCTACCAAAACACAAAGCTGAGGGGAAGGACAAAGAAAGCGGAAGGACAATGACCTGCATCCATATGGGAACACACCATCTATTATGGCAAGCCATATTAATTTTTAATCCTTTACCCTCTGAGGACGGATTGGGCGGTACCGCCTAAAATAACATACTTTTACAAATGTGTACTTTTCTTAAAAACGATTCATGATAGGGAGGTGCGGTCTTTTTTGCCGTCTTCCTCAGATTCCACTGAAAACAGTGATAACTGGATACCCGGAGATACCCGGCTTGTATACACACCGCCAAAGGCCAATGAAATCGTGTATTTTGGCAGATTCACGAGCAACAACCAATGGAAAAATTGCTGATGGAGAAATATTTTTCTTACCCAATCAGGGGAAGGTTATCACGACGTTTTCTAGAAAATCGGAGGAATCTCCTTGCAAGGGGTGGTATAGTAAGGGATATGACGTAAACAGCGTCGAGTGGTGGAGGACTCAGGAGACGACAGAAAACGAACGGACGCGTCGAGTATAAACAAGGCTTATATATATATTAGGGTAAAGGTTGTGAGTTTTGTGTCTAGAGTTGTGAAAAATGACATCAAGGTTCTGATAATAGTAACAAAGTGGTTGTAAAAAACTGTATTTTAGCTCTGATGGCAACCAGTAAACGATTTACGGTGGCACAGGCTCTGGAACAATTACTGGAGAGTGACGAGGAGAAAGCATTGCTTAGAAAATTCTAAGCATTCCCAAGAAAAACGCCTGGGACTATTTGTAAATAAAGTTGGATTTTTCATTGTTCTTTACACATTTTATTTAACAATTACACATGTCTGTCAAGCAAAGACTTTGACAAATATATGTTTTGTTCAAAACTGTTCACTATTGTTGTGTGATGTGTGATTTTCAGAAATAAATTACAAAATTGAATTTCCGTTTTTGAAATAGTATATTGTAATTTTTTTACTCTATTAAAAACACATTACATGCATGCTTATGTTAGCTTAGGGTCTTCTGAATCCATAGATACCAAGCACATTGTGTTCCATCTCCATGACATATCATTTATAAGCCCAAATGTAAAAATAGAGAAAACGGACCAAAAAGGGCTTAGTCCCCAGAGGGTTAATTATAGCAATAAACTCAGGTGAGAAACCAAATGCCTGAAGAGTATGCCATTAAGAAGAAACCTTTTCATGGTCCAGAGAATTCAGACCAACCTTTTGATCTCTTAGTCTAGAGATTTCCAGAACATTTCAAATCAAAGATATGTAGTCCACTATTGATCTGTTGGGTACACAATAAGACTAATCTATATGGATGACCTGCCCCAAAATCTCCCTCAGTCTTTCGGCCAAAATTTTTGACAGAATCGGTGCATAACAAAGACACTGGCCTCCAATTCTTAACCTCTTTGAGGTCACCTTTCTCTGGAAGCAGACTTAAGACTCCTCTCCTGTACCTCTTTGGCAGTCGCTCTTCATACAGACTACTAAGCACTACAAGCAAGTATCCCAGAAAGTAGTATGCCTTATAAAATTCCACAGGCATCCCATCTAGACCTGGTTCTTTGCAGTTTTTCATGCTCTGCAGTGCCTTAAAAAGTTACAAAGAGAGATCAGGAAAAAAAAAATAATTATCACCTCAACATTTCTCATTCCTTTTTGTAAAAACTTGTTCTAAACCATAGCCACTGGGATCTTGACTCACATTATTCTCCACAGAGGCCTCAGACCCCTCTTGCTCACTCCCTGAATCAGATACATCAGACATATTGTTCTCATGTTGCATCTCTTTCTTAAAGGGACACTCCACCATTTGCATTAAGATTTCCATTGTTAGAAATCCAGTCTAACTATTGAATGGTCGTACAACACTCTCCCATTTTCCCGATGGATGCATTATGGATAGGGTTAGGTACCAAAACGCGGTGCCAAAAGAGAACCAGTTCGAACGTAAACAGTAATAACCAGACCGAATTAGAACGAACATTTCGGTGCCTGAGTCTCTGTGTCATGAGGCGCACACACGCAAAGTCTCTCGCTCTCTCCCTCTCTCTCGTGCACGCACTATACGGTCTGTCTTACATGCTCGCTCTTGGTCACTCACAAGGTTTGGCTACATTTCACGTGTAAAATTGTGTAAACGTAAAACCGTGTAAAAAAGTAAGTGTGCTGATTCTCTGAAGCCCATATAGAATCACGCCAATCCATTGACTGATGGCGTGGGCATCGCCTTGATGCTCTTACATAGCTATATTATATTAGCGTGAATTATCTGATTTCATTGTGCGAAATGATTTCCAGGCGGTAGCGTAGAGTGCAGCTCAACTCTAGTCTACATTGATGGGTGGAGTAATGGGAGTGGCCTGCGGAGGTGAGCATTGCAATGCACTAGGGGGATTTTTGTCTACAATCCACAAGCACTAAAAAGTCATTTTCTGCCTTTTATCGGCCAAGACCCAAATTATAAATTTATGATACTATTCTACTACATATATGACTCACTTTCAATACATATGCATGTCTCCACCGGTGGAATTACCCTTTAAACTTATCAGCTGCTACATAATTTTCTTTTCACTGCTGGAACTCTGACTGATCTCATGAAGTAGCGCGAATTGGCGTGCTATCAAGACGCACAATCGCTTTTCAGCGTGTTTATGAACGCCGTTGACTTAAAGTTATTACTGTATTTATAAATATATGACTTAACCTCAACCACGTCCCTAAACCTAACCGTCACTGGGGTTAATGGCATTTATGACTGTTCCCTTACCATCCTAGGAAAAAAAGAGATCGCTCCCCAGATGTAGATCTACATTTTGCTTCGTTTCGCGTGGACATTTGACGGTGTGTACAGACACGCGGAATCACTCGGACATTAATGGCGTAGACATACACGCATACACTGTAAAAAATGATTGATGCAAATAGTTGTACAAATGAGGATATACATGTTGGATCAACATAATGGTTGTGTCAAAAAAGAAAAATATGTTTGGTCAATGATTACATGATTTCCATGACTGTACTACAAAATGTTCATCAGGAGAAAATAAATAACGGTGTTCACAGAATTTTTAACATTGCACAAAAAATATTATGTTGGCCGAGCAAGAGGGAACAGCGTCAATCGTCTGAGCATGCGCAAAGGAGTTCTACCAGGCTTTTGAATTTCCCCCGCCACGAGTCACGACATTGAATTGGTGAGTGAATTTTCTTTATTTGTGTTGCGAGGTAATTAGCAAATTTAGGTTAAGAATATATCTTGTGAGTAACGTTAAGTGATTAGCATTCCTTTCCAACTGGCATGCGGTTTTAACGTTGAACCACACGGTTAAGCATCGCATGGGTTGCCACCTGTGCCGGTTTTACCAGGATTGTCATTTGTCCTTCTTTTTAATAACTTGCCTCGGGAAATTTAAGCACTCGTTCGTTTCCGAAACCGAAAGGCTACGTGAATGTTCAAACTGTGTAGTGCGCGGCCGCGTGCACGGCACAGAGGGGGAGACCTCGCACTCGACATGTTAGAAACGCATGTAATTCCCGGTGGGCGGGTTGTCGATATGTCCCGGTTTTTTATCAGACATAGGTGGCAACCCTATGTTCCTGTTTAATATTTTAAATGTTCAATATTTTTAAATTCCAGTTGCATTCTTTATATATGTGTGATAATTGACTGCAACAGACAGCTAGTCTTGACAACTAACTTAGTGCTTTTGCTATCACAGAGTGACTGATCATTTAGGCTAGTTCTGAGTTAGTTTCCATTCAAAGCCCGTGTGCCATCGTGTTAGCAGCTAGTACTTTGCACAAGTACTTTTTAGAAAACCCTAATACATACTGAAGTATGGTTCTGTGTATATAACTATGTGTTATTTATGCATTTGTAACGTTATTTATTTGTTTTTCAGGTATTTTTTCAGACTTAAAGCTAAATGCAGTGTCGCTATTGTACATTTTCACATCTGCAGCAAGACACAGGCTACAGGCTTCATCATTGGCAAGTAGGTAAATGTTCTTTTCCCTGCATTCATCCAGACTGTTTTTGTATTTTTACAACACACGCGCACACACACACTAATGACACATGATTTGGATATTTTTGTGTTTTTTTTGGAAAAAATTGGATTAAATGGGTTAATAATGTCTTATTGATGACCTGTATTTTTGGCAGACCACAGATCTAACTATTTATAGGTTTGCTGTTCTTCGTGGTCTTCCCCTGTACTTGAGAGAGCCAACTTCAATTTCAAAGACTTATATTTTTTATTTTATTATTTTTTTTTTCAGACTTAAAGCTAAATGCAGTGCTGCTTTTGTACATTTTCACATCTGCAGTGCACATATGCAATGCTTCATCATTGGCAAGCAGGTAAAGGTTATTTTCCTTGCATTCATCCAGACTGTGTTTGTATTTTTACAACAACAGGGCCCTTAAAAAAACATTTATGGAGAGCACATCCTAAAATAGACAGCCCACTCAGACACACACCCCAGACACATCACGCACCCAACACACTCAAATCACGCACACCGCAACACACCCCGCACGCACCCCACACACTCACATCACGCACACACCACACACCCACAACGTACACCACGCACGCATATCACACACCCGCACACCACAAACCCCACACTCAAATCATGCTCACCACACAACGCACACCCCACAACCATGCACGCACGCACGCACACCCCGCACGCACACCCCACACGCACACATCACACACCCACACTCACCCCACACGCGCGCACACACACACCCCCACTCACCCCACACGCGCGCACACACACACACCCCACAACCATGCACGCACACCCCGCACGCACACCCCACACGCACACATCACACACCCACACTCACCCCACACGCGCGCACACACACACACCCCACAACCCTGCACGCACACATCACACACCCACACACACGCGCACACACCACATAACCCTGCACGCAAGCACACCCCACACGCACATTAAAGATACTTGATTTGGATATTTTTGTGTTTTTTGCAAAATTTGGGATTAAATGGGTTAAAATGTCTTATTGATGACCTGTCTTTTTGGCAGACCACAGATCTAACCACTTATGGGTCTGCTGTTCTTCGTGGTCTTCCCCTGTACATGAGAGAGCCAGCTTCAATTTCAAAGACTATTAAGGTAATTTGAATATCTTTATGGTATTACTGTTTGAGATGCAGTAATGATTGCATAAGACATTATGCTTTCAGTCTGACACTTAGTGTCATTTATTGTGTTTCACAGAATACTGAGGCACTGGGGCCACACACAAAGGCCATGAAAATGGGGATCCTGGAAGTGACTGACAGTTCTACCAACTCAGGACCATATTCCACAGTGGTCAATGTGGCTGTAGTACTGGAGGAGGAAGTTGTCATGGACAATTTGGAAGACTTCACAAATGCCCTCGTGATGCTCTTTGGTCTGCTTTATGCTGTAAAATGGAGTAAGGACTTAAGGTACACATTTGAGGCAGTCCAGAAGATTATCTTAAACTGCTGCTCTGGAACTTGTTGATCAAATAAATTGATATTTGATTTGTAAAGCAGTAGGGATGGGCAATGGTTAATCGTGATTATTCGCATCCAAAATAAAAGTTTGTGTTTACATAATATGTGTATGTAGTGTGTATAATTAATTTGTATATATAAATACACACACATGCATGTATATTTAAGAAATAGCATGTATATACTTTGTAGTTATACATAATTAATATTATATTTGATATATTAATAACATTTTTTTCTTAAATATATACATACATGGGTATTTATATATACAAGTTAATTATACATACTACACACATATTATGTAAACACAAACTTTTTTTTGGATGCGATTAATCGTTGCCCATCCCTACAAAGCATTCATCCCTGAGAAATATTAGAATGTTTAATTTTTTAAAGTAGAGATTTATTTTGCCAATAGAACTGTTTTAATGTACATAGTGACACATGTAACCTGAAAGTAGTGGGCAGTACTTTGTATTTTATTTTTTCCATGTAATGTACAGTAATTGCCCTTAGTCTTAGACTAACAGACTAAAAATGTCATATGTTTACAGGCAAAGCCACTGTCATGTTTTACTGAGTAAAGCAGATATTTGTTGTACAGCTATTGACTAAGTTATATGCCACGCTTTCTTGAACTCTCAGATCTTGTTTCGGCACTATTTGAATACTTGTGTAATATTTTACTTGAGACTAACAGGCAAGTCTTTTGTATTTTAATAAATGCATAAAATGTACTCTATCAGAGCCTAGTGTGTTATTTATTTGAAATAATGAAAAAGAGACTTTTTTGACCAACATTAATGAAAAATAGACTTTTTGGCCAACATGAAATATTTAATTAATACAACATTTTATTTCAATTTGAGTCTGTTCATTGGCCCAACAAGCTGTTCAGTCAACAGAAAATATTTAATTGACAACATTCTATTTCAAGTTAGGTCGACATGCAGGGGTAGTCAGCACAACACAAAAAAGTTGGTTTCCGCAACTTAAATTGGGCCAACTAAAAATTTTAGGTGCAACGGGTCACTAGAAATTTTTATGTTGGAGAGGCATATATTTTTTTACAGTGTACAGCTCAAAATGCGTAGAGATAACACGCAGCTTGACTCGAAAGTGGCGTGTATGTACGCAAAATTCATGATGTCATGTTGTGGAACTTTAAACATTTTCTCGTCTTCATTAAATATTTCATTCCCTACCTCATTAATTTCAATATCCATTGTCTCCCACAAATCTCTGGTCTGGACTGGAGAACCGCTGGTTCCATCCAACCCCGCCGAGACGTCCTCACCGCTGGTCTCGTCCAGCCTAGGGACTGTCCAGCCAGAGACCGTGTGTTCAAAGCTTTCTTCACTGCTGGTCCAGTCCAGCTCAAGTCCCTCTTCACCACTGGTTCCGTCTGGGCCAGCTGAGCCTTCACCGCTGGTGCACGTCAGCCACGCTGAGACTGTTCATATCACGCCTGCCCAGCCAGAGACTGTACAAATCCTGCCTGCCCAGCCAAAGACTGTTCACGTTACGTCTGCCCAGCCTGTTGCAGTCCCAGAGGGTCCTCACCGCCGTGGCCTTCCGACGGGTCCTCCCCGCCGTGGAAGCCAGAGGGTCCGACTGCTCCGCCGTGTTCCAGTCAGAATATGAGTCTGAGACTGCTCCATTGGGCTATGATTATGGGGCGTGTTTCAACCGAACCAGGAAAGAAAATGGATAGACTCAATTGGATAGACATACAATTACAGCAAAGGAGAAAGTAACATATATTGAATCCCATAGGAATAACGGCAAAAACATCTTTGATCAAGTCTTGACTAACTTTTGATGTCAAATTGATATTAAGGTGCCTGCTGGGTGGTGTCTGGTATTGTTTGTGTATCACACGATGTTACTGTACAGTATGTTGCTGCCCTGCTATTGGATTACCAAATTGTATTTTTTAATTAAAAACCTGTTTGTGGAAAATTGTTTGAAATTGTTTTTTTCATACTCTGACTAAATCAGCATATAATGATTTCTAAAGGATCATTTGACACTTAATGATGCTAACAAAAATCAACATGTTACAAGGAATTCGAACAGCAAACAGTTATTTGAAATTGTAATAACATTTCACAATATTACTGATTTTCGATCAAATAAATGCAGTCTAGATGAGCATAAAATACACAAACTTTTGAATGTTAGTCTATTTGCTGAAATATATATCGAGAAGGTCTACATGTGCTTGGATAACCCTGTTTAGTGAACTTTTCCAATATAGATTTAACCTTCAAGTTCAAAGCCTAATTCCCACAGTACCCAGAACATCAAAGTTGAGGAGACATTGGATAGAGACTTAGCTTCTTTGAACAGTGATAAATGGAAAAGTGGAACAGGCTTCTGCAGCGTCTATGAGAGAAATGCCTCTTTATGAGAGAAATCTCTTTATCTCTGAACAAATTAAAGATCCTTCTGCACTGGTGGGTGGTTGAATTCTGGGTCTATGTAAATGTGAAGATTGTTATGGTTAATTGCTAGAAAGGATTTAGGCCTGTTAACTAAGTAATGAAGCAATTTGTATTATCTAGCATACTTCCCGCAAAAAAAAAAGAAGAGGTGGTCAAGTGTGTGATCTATCCTCAATTGCCTTTTTTCTGTCTTTGCATAAACATGATGCTCTTTGAATCCAGGCGTGACGTTGTTCGGGTTGTTATAACAGCGAAGGGTTATTTTTCAAAGTGAGTCATTCCCCATGCCCTTTTCAAGGCCGCTCTGATGACAACCCCGTCACAGCAAGGCTTACCCGGTAACAGAGGGAGGCCAACTTGAAAAAACAAAAGACAGCACTTCTTGTGTCAGAAGAATTACATGTTGACTGTTTTGATATTTGCCATTCTCAACCAATCCATCGAATCATTAAACACTTCCATTGTTTCTTTTCAATCTATTCTCAATGACTCGCATCATTTTCTCAAGTATTCACCTCTCCTTATGAGATCATTCTTCAGAATCAAATTCACTGTGATGCATTAAGACTTGACATTCACAATCTGCGTGTCAAAATGCTAAATTGGCTTATCAGATTCATGCTTCAAACTTCTACATCAAACTTCTGCATAATTCTCATTTACATGACCCCGATTATTTAGCAAGCTTCATCAGTGGGGTAACTTTGCTTTGAAAAGTGGGTGGGAGTGGGACAGGTGTGTGTGGGGGAGGGGGGGGGGGTGTCAATACAATGCTAAATTATAAATCAGATGTAAACCTATGTACTATAACATATCAATGTCCAGCAATCAATTAAAATAGTACATTGGGTTTAATTTGTCATTTAATGAGATGTAATATCGTGTTGGTGGCGAGAATTTTCACGTGAAGAAATACATATTATTTAATTTATGATATGTACATATCATAATTGAAAGTGATTAATATAACGATGTCTTTACTACCTTTTTTGGGCCGGCAGATGCAATTACCTAGCAGAGGAGTGAGCCAGCCCTCAGATTTCATCAAAAATATCTTAATTTATGTTCTGAACATGGACGCAAGTCTGACGGGGTTGGAACAACATGAGGGTGAGTAATTACTGGCAGAATTTATATTTTTTGGGTGAACTAACACTTTAAGAGTCTAGGTGTAGTCCTTGATAGTACTTTGTCTTTTGAAATGCATGTGAACAATGTTATTAGGTCTGCATATTTTCACTCAAGGAACATCAGCCGTCTTCGTCAATTTCTCACACCCATATTCTTGTACATTCTCTAGTCACTTCACGCATAGATTGTTGTACCTCTCTTCTATTTGTGTAACCTTACAAATGTTTTCATAAACTTCAATTGGTTCAGAACTCAGCTGCCCATATAATTATAACCTCTTCCATTGAGCATGTCTCTCCTGTTCTCTATCATTTACACTGGCATCCAGTAAAATATTGAGTAGAGTACAAGATTCAGCTTCTCACTTTTAAAGCTCTTCACAATCTTGCACCCTCGTATCTCTCAGACTTGTTTTATATTTACACCCCCAAGAGCACTCTTAGGTCTACTTCATCGGTTTCTCTTGTTGTACCCTCTGTTTGTTTAGTCACAATGGGGTCCAGGGCGTTCAGCTGTGCTTCTCCTCATCTTTGGAATTATCTTAAACAATTTATACACGGAAGTGATTGACTACTTTTAAATCAAGTCTTAAAAACATATCTATTTAAATTAGATTACAACTTAAATCAGTAAATGAAGAATAAAGAACCCTAAGTCCATAATTAAAAAAAAAAAAGTCATACACACAATTAATTCACAAAATATATGGTGAATACACATTATAACAAAACATCAGCAAAACCATAAACTTAAAATGAAAGGGCCATATACCAAAATCACAAAACAACACTTTTAGTCTGAGCCGTTATGAGCATATTTAATTTTTTGACAAATTTAATGCTGGGAAATCTAGTAGGCTAGATAAAATGAATGAATATGCAATAGATAAGCAGTCATTTTAATATGGCTGGTGTCTTATCTAATCTTACTTAACTAATTCATATTTATGGGCCTGTCTGATACGTTTATGTCTCCACCTGTTTTCAGATTGTGTCTATGCCCCATAGACTCTCACCCAGACATGCCAATTGAAGAATAATAAGAACATACAAATATTGGTACAGCAGGTACAATAACACTATAAAAAGACTAACCCTAGAAGAAGGACTGCGCCATTGACCTCCTCCCAGGCAGTTCTACGCCCAAGAGTCATCTTTTTTCCCTGTCTGGTCCAGAAAGAGAGGCTATGGACTAGTAGATTCACGATTCTCCAAACGCCGGTCTCATCCGTCCCTCTTCATCGCCTGCTGGTGCAGGGTTCTTCTTTATCAAGAAGAAGGTGGCTCCCTGCGACCCTGCATAGATTATAGGGGTCTTAAAGGGTTAGTTCACCCAAAAATGAAAATTAAGTCATTAATTACTCACCCCCATGCTGTACCAACCCCGTAAGACCTTCGTTCGTCTTCGGAACACAAATGAAGATATTTTTGATTAAATTTGAGAGCTGTATAACTACCACATTGGCTCCTAGAGGACTGCCTCTTGACGGCCCAGAAAGTCAATGAAGAAAATGTTTAAATATCCCAAGTGACTACCGTGGCTCAACTATATGTTTATCAAGCGACGAGAATACTTTTTGTGCGAAAAAACAAAAAAAATAACGAGTTTATTCGACTATTTATTTTCTTCCTTGTAGGCCAGAACGAGAATTCCTTAGATTTCCACGACGCATGCGCGAGATTTGCGATCTGCTCACACCAGCCTTCACTACTTCAGATCGCAATTCTCGCGCATGCGTCGTGGAAATCTATAAGGAAGTCTCGTTCTGGCCTACAAGGAAGAAAAGAAATAGTCGAATAAACTCGTTATTTTTGTTTGTTTTTTCGCACAAAAAGTATTCGCGTCGCTTGATAAACATATAGTTGAGCCACGGTAGTCACTTGGGATATTTAAACATTTTCTTCATTGACTTTCTGGGCCGTCAAGAGGCAGTCCTCTAGGAGCCAATGTGGTAGTTATACAGCTCTCAAATTTAATCAAAAATATCTTCATTTGTGTTCCGAAGACGAACGAAGGTCTTACGGGGTTGGTACAGCATGGGGGTGAGTAATTAATGACTTAATTTTCATTTTTGGGTGAACTAACCCTTTAACGTCATCAAAATCAAGAACAGGTATCCCCTACCTCTTATGTCGTCTGCTTTTGAGCCTTTGCTGCAAGGAGCCAAGGTCTTCACTAAGTTAGACCTCCGCAATGTGTATCACTTGGTACGGATTTGTGAGGGGGATGAGTGGAAGACAGCGTTCATTGGACACTAAAGAGTACTTGATCCTACCTTTCGGTCTGAGCAATGCACCAGCTGTCTTCCAGGCTCTGGTCAACAATGTGTCTCTGAGCACATGGCTTTGTTTTGACAGTTCGCTGTATGCTCCACTTTCATTGTGGTTGATTTGTTTCTCCACCCTCTTGTTCGTCACTGCTCTGTCCAGACACCTTTTATAAATTACCACCCTCTCATTCATCATCACTGATTGTCACACCTGTTATTGATTACCTTACTTGTTTATATCCCTATTTGTTCTCCCCGTGTTGTCTGTCTTGTGCCTGATAGTTGTGTTCGCTTCGACCCATCCAATTTGATAATTCTACAGTCGTGTCTTGTTCAGTCCTGTTTTGAGCCTCCAGTGTTGTTTTATTTTCCCTGTTTGTTTTTTCTTTCATCTTCTGTCAATCTCCCCAGGCCTTCTCTCTGCTTCCGGCCGAGTTTCAGCTCCCTGATCTCGTCTTCCTGCTCCAGTCATTTTGCCCTCATCAGCGTGCAATTTCTCTGCTGCCCCTCCCCTCTTCCTGGTGCCTGCTGTTCTCCTGCTGTGTGAGCTTTGCACTCTGCTTTGCCATTTAAGGAGTCCGATTTCCAGCATTCTATTGCCTTTTGCTCCCTGCTGGATTGCTTGTCTGTTTAGTTTTGTTTTTCGTTTTTCTATGACTATTTTTGGCTTGTTTTTCAGTCAATAAACTTGTTTGAGCCTGCAACTGAATCCAGTCTTGACTCCTGATACTATCTTCCCTTTCACTCAACCTATCAGGGTTCTGCATCTGTAGTGTTCGCCCTGTCTAATTCATTAGTTGAGGTGGCGGTGTGAAGGATGAAAATTAGTTCACAATGCTGACAGCTTCATTAGCTACAGTTTTTTTGACAGAGTGACAGATGATGAAAAGACCCAAAATCAGAGGTCAGCCTCGACAGAAATCGTCCTTTAAAACTGTGCGCTTTTTTGCTTCCAATTCATAAACACTAAACTTAACAGCACTGTTTAAGACGACTATTGAAGAAGTGTGTTTTACTTTGTTTCTATTATAAAATAGAGATGAATCAATGGCTTCCCCAGAGTGGAGTCAATATCCAGCGTAAATTGTACCGAGGTATGTGGTCATAACAGAACCGCAGGTGTGATTAGCATAAACAATCAATTTCTTTTCACTCTCTTCTAGCCACATACAATCCAACTTATTCCAGTCCATTACAATGCACACAAAAAAAATGAAAAGTCTTTTTTTTCTGTTTAAATGTCACTTATCTTTAAATAAACACACTCGCTCATGCTGCCAGGTTAAAGAGCCCCTATCATAGCATTTGAAATGTTCCTATTTTTGTTTTTGGAGTTCCCAAAAACAGTTTAACGTGCATGCAAGGATAAAAAACACTTTATTTGTCTTATAATATGCATTTATTTTTACCCGATTTGCTCAACGACTCGTTCGACGATTCATAACCATGATTATGGCTTGTCAAGTGTTGAAAATTGTGAATATATAGTGTTTGAACAAACGTGTCAGAAAAAGTACACTTTCCACACGGTCCCTTACTCGCGTCTCCGTCAAGAGCGAGGGAAATTATTCCCGCCCCAGAATTTATTCTACTTGCTTTTTGTAATGATCATTAGCAATAAGAGGCTAAACAATTTCATCAGAGCAAACTCACATTGCGGCAGCTTTTGAGGGACAGTGCTTATTATATAGAGCGAAGTCATATTTGGGTAAGTCGTTTAGGAGGTAATTGCCATTTTTCAATGAATGTCTGGTGAATATCAAAAACAAAACTAACTTTACCCCGCTTAGAAGCTGCGTGGAGTGTACACAACACACACACAACACAATATAAGTATATTGTGCATGCTACAGAAAACATAACAGCAAACATTATTAATAATACTTACAGATTGTGATTCGAAGGAGGACAAACATGATCCATATACACTGGATACTGAGCCCTCCTTCGGGAACAACCGGCTTGTGAATCCACATTTGAATTCATTTATGTTTTTGCATGATTCGTCATTAAAATGATGAGAACACAAGGTTCGGGCTATACTGTTGTGGTATCGTTGCAAATATGAACTCTAACCACTGATTCTTCACATGCTCGTCCCTGGGTAAAGAAAACAAGTGGCTGAACTGACTTTGCAATGTAGAACACAGCGTCTTCTCGACATGACGCTATTCAGCTGAAGTTTGTGAATGTGTTCTAGACTTCAAGTTTACACTCCCGTCTGTGTGCGCAGTTGTTGGGAGCGGCCAATGAGCTAATGTTTTGTATCTACGTCACGACGAAACAGCTAATGACTCGTTTCAAAAACAATTAATTTCATAGACTCAGAGTCGACTCTCACTTTTGACAGACAATAACTTTATATACGGTGCACTTTCAGATATAAATCTTTGCAGGATGTTTTCACTCCCTTAGAGCTATAGTCCACACTACGTGAACAGTCATTTTCAAAAATCCATGATAGGTGCTCTTTAACTTCATCATAGGCCATTGCAAATGCATAACATTTTTAAGCAACTTTTTTGAGTTTAGAAAGACATTTTAGTCATCACTCTTCATTTACTCAACCTTTTTTATCTTTACTGCATCATAAGGCAGAATCATAGTGAGATTTACAGAAACCAAATGGACTCAGACAGTCAATAAATAAATGCCTACAATAAATGATCTGAAGTATTTCTCAAAAGATAAGTGACATTACGTCTTGCTGATCTCTGTGATTCAGAGAGTAATAGCTCTGCTCTTTTGTTCTTTTGTCAGTAATAAGAGCGATTGAGCACAAACTATGGAACTCATTCAAAGACTTAAAGATGAGTTAAAAGCTAAATCACACTCTAATGGATAAATGGAGAGACTGGTCAGAGCAATCAGCAGTAATGACAGATTTAGAGTTTCATTTAGTGTAAATGAAATTCTAAAGAGTGACTGAGCTTTAGATTAAGGAGTAGCAAGGGACACATCTCTCAAGAACACTATATACTTGTACTGTATATTTCACATTACTTCACACACTTTGCTACATCATACTCAGGTCCTTTCACGTAGTGTTTCTTTCGCAGAAACTTCATTTCTATGCAGAAAATAAAGTGATTTCTGGGTTAATGCAGTGAGACATTACTTCGATGAGAGCCATAAATGATTAAATGATTATCGGGAGAGGGCGATTGAGAATTATTAAAAATTTAATCATGATGAAATCTAATTTACATGAAGAGTGGGAACACATTTAAATCCAAATGGTATACTAAAAAGTGATCAAACTAAAGAAATAACTGAAATGTCTGGTACAGTCAGAATTACTGAATACAAAGTGAATGTTTGAGTTTATCACATTTTTTAACAAATAAAAGCTATATATTGCAAACGATTGTGTTGCTAAACATTTAAAATGAATTTCCTATATGATTTTGACAGAGATCTTTTAAATTAAGTGAGTTTATGTGTATAAGTTGCCTTCTTTTTAGCTAACTTAATTTTGATCAATTGTTCAGTAAACAAAACTTAACATCAAGTCATTTAGCTTCTCAAGTTAATTAATTCGGGGTGAAACTACTGACCAATGGTAGACAGTTTCAAAATGATCAATTCTATTTAATGACTCTGTGGTGCACTTTTAACAAATAATAAAAAAGGCTAAGAAATAATTGATTTTAGTAAGATTGCAGAAATTCTAAAATATTTAGAAAATTTAAATGGTCAGGTGGTACATTTGGACATTTAATTATTTGGTTTCACACAGTGACATTATTAAAAAAAAAAAAAGAAAAAAAAAAAACAACAACCTGTTTTTCCATCAGTTGACCTCAAAACATGCATCCTAAAGGCCAAAACACTATACTGATGAGATTCATGGTAATCTCTAGTTAAATTAAAGTCTAATTAAACACCCACTCCATATCCAGAAGATCTATTATTATTTTTATTTTTTGTCTCCTTGCTATATTGTGTGGACTTGCTTTTGTGGAGGTCTTTCAAGTGCCATTTAATCATTTAAGCATGAACATGATGAATGCCT